AAAAAAAAAAAAAGACGGCGACATTGGGGAATTGAGAAAATAAATTGTAGCCGTCTGAGAGGGTTGAAAATTTCAAGAATTTTTATAAATATAATTATATTTTAATCATATTTTCTTATTTAATTACCTTCATGCTAATAATCATTTATAAAAATATATTTATAGTTTTTTACGTATAGCAAAATACCTTGATAGGGTGGGGGACGCTAAAACCATACTCACCCCATACCCATCAACTTCTTTGCAGGTTTTACCCATACCCGTCGCATACCTAATCAATACGGGGATTCGCCGCGTTGACTGAGTCGGAGGTGTGCGGATACCCACGAGTATGAGTTTGATTGTTATCCCTAGTTGGAGGGAGTGGCTCCAACCACTGTTGGATGTATAAGATTTCCCTATAACTCTACCTCTTTGTCGTGCGAGGGAGAATGGGGATTTCCTATCTTTTTCATACTTGTTCTTCTTGCATAGTTGATTCAACCCTATCCTTAGAATTTTCATTAGCCATCAATCCACCGCCAAGCATAAAACTCATGAGTCATGTCGTCTTGCGTTCATCGGCTGTGAAGGTGCATCATTTTCCTCTTTTCCGATCTATGGACGTTGTGTCAGACTTTGCGTTTTCCCTATATGCTTTGGCCTTTTCATCAATTTTCTAGTTTGTGCACCGGGTAGTATATCTTTTGAGCATCTTCTTTCTTATTACCTCATCATCATTTTATTAGAAACTATAAATCAATAATGATTTTCTCTTGATATTTGGATTGCAAGTGTGATTCTTATTCAATAGCGATTGGTATGAGTTATTAGTATCTCTTTTCAGTCCTTGAAGATATTTTAAATGCTTGAATCATGAGCAATTTAGACTTTAGAATATTTGATGATGAAATTTGTAATTGTTCTTTCTTCTATAGGTGAAAATGAAATCGATCCAGCCGAAACCAGTGTAGCAAAGATGAGGCCAAGAATGAAGAATGCAGCGGAAGGAAGTTGACGAAAAGAATATGTGCATTTGTAGTTTTATACAATTACTTGGTGATTCTCTGCCGCGCTTCGCTGCGGCTTTTTATAAGATTTAGATGTAATGTTTGTTAACCCGTATTTGATTTGTTATCGCATTTAACATATTTTCAATAGAAAACTCCTATCGAAATCTAAATTTGTTAGTGATATTACCTGTATGAAATGATTTAATCATGGTTGAACTATGATTTTAGCATAAAATGCCCTAATGTTAACTTTTCCGGTACGACTTTCGGTATGATTTTACATTTTTAGGTTTTTTGTGACCATGCATCGATGCTCGGGTTGGAGCAACGTGTCAAGCATGATTCAACCACCATTGAGCTATCATTTTAGCAGAAAATACCCTAATAATAACTTTTTCGGCACGACCTTCGGTATGGTCTTACAATTTTTTTCTGAACATAAATTGAGATTCGGGTTGAAGCAACATGTCAACCCTTATTTTTAACCATGGGTGAACTACGAATTTAGCACAAAAGACTATAATGCTAAATTTTTTGGTACGACCTTAGGTATGGTTTTACAATTTTTGCTTCTTTAAACATAAATCGAGGCTCGAGCTGGAGCAACGTGTTAAGCCTGATTTAACCACAGTTGAACTACAATTTTAGCACAAAATGCTCTAATGCTAACTTTTTACCTTCGATGTGGTTTTACAACTTTTAGTATATCTGAACATAAATCGAGGCTCGGGTTGGAGCAACGTGTCAAGCCTGATTTAGCCACGTTTGAACTATGATTGTACTATACTGGTGGTCAAAATATTATAACATAATCTAAATCGCTAGGTAATTTTAGCTTATTGAAATGATTTAACCATGATTGAACTACAATTTTAGCACAAAATACCATAATGCTAACTTTTCCCGTATATAATTTTACATTTTTCTGAACATAAATCGAGATTCAAATTGGGGTAATTTGTGAAGCCTACACCAATAGCATTCTCTCTAGTTTTGAATGGAAGTTATAATTCACAGACTAATCAAATAAGATTAAGGATTTAGTAACCATGTATCAAACAAAATCAAAGAGATAAAAAGTGTCAAAGCCTAATTCCGTGATTTACCACCGAGCGACAGCATGTGGAAGAGTTGGCTCGTCATGGCTGTTAGCAAAGGAAAGTCACCGATCTTATGCTACAGTACTCCCTTTATCACTTTAATTATTTTAGGATTGAATGGAAGTTATAATTCACAGACTAATCAAATAAGATTAAGGATTTAGTAACCATGTATCAAACAAAATCAAAGAGATAAAAAGTGTCGAAGCCTAATTCCATATTTTACCACAGAGCGGCAGCATGTGGAAGAGTTGGCTCATCATGGCTGTTAGCAAAGGAAAGTCACCGATGGCATAAAATAGCAAAACTCTAATGCTACAGTGCTCCCTTTTATCACTTTAATTATATTAGGATGTTTATATGTCCTCTCTAATACAGGGGCCAGTTACAATGTGATGTATATATTATTATTTTGTATCATATTGTACTACTGTATTCTTCCTATTTAAACAAATTAGTTATTTAATGAATGCTAAATCATGTTCTCCTTATTTATGTGTTGAGTGTAACTTTAGGATACGTATAAAGAGTATCTAAATTAAATAAGTACATAAAAGTATAAATTTATGTGCAGAAATTCAATGAAAAAGATTATACTAATTAATATTTTGGTTTACGCAAAATAATGTCAAGTATAGTTGTACAGTCTTTGTCAACAAAATTGAATGTCATTGGGATTTCACTCATCATTAAATTAGTTTAAGTAGCTACAATTTGTTTTTTGCAGTAAGAACTCTGATCTTTCAGTCACAAAATGACCTATGGCAACTTAATAAATTATTTTGTGGCAAAAAGTATAACTATTTGCTTCGAATGAAATTTTGTGTGGCCCATAACTACATTAGGCCATGAGTTATATTTTGTGTAGCTAAATACTTTGACGGTTTTGCTACAACATTTTCACTTTCATGGGAAGAAAATTTTGATATTTTTTCTTTAATATACTCTTTTATAGCAAAAAGTCAACATTATTAGCTACACATGTAAGAAAGTGCATAGTTAACCTTTAGTTGCGCCACTTTTATCTTCACGAGCTACAAAGTTATTTATTTATAGCTATATGGTTTAGCTACATTATGTTGAAGGTTTAGCCACGAATTGTTACACAGCAACATCTGTTTTTTCTTGTAGTGCGTCTCTGGAACTTCATATGTGACATCTCATCTCTTCTTCAAAGAGATGTGTGATATATTTGATCACATAGATAATGTGGAAAATCATTCAGATCCTAAGATTAGATGCATGACAAAAAAACATGAGGTCTAAAGTTGTATATACTATATCGGTTGGCCTGCTTGTGTATGTAGCAATCTCTAATAACTTGTTATTTGACATTTGTTTATAATATAGTGACGCAAGCCATTAGAGGTGGATCAACAAGATCCTATACATAATTGTTGTTGATGGCCGCTTTACTTCATGTTGGCGGCGAGAAACTTGATTCCACAATAGGTTTCTATCTTTCCCTTTTCATTATTAGATTGAAATTAGTCGAGATAAAGTTATCTAGAATGGTAGGGGTGAATTGTTATGAATTTAGGGTCTTCAACAAAACTAGCTTTTTGAGTATCTTTGTTTTGATAATTGAACTGCTACAACTCTCCCTCTGATTTAGCCGAATGGTGTCTATGAATTCCAGTTTTATCATTGTGATGAAGGTTAACAGAAACTTGGTATTGTTTGTAAGTGTTAGTAGGAACTGTTTGTAGGGGTGCTTTGTTCTGATTTGAGGTGGGATTTAAGATTTGTCTGAATGTTTGTATTAACTATTGAACTATAATGTAATATCTCTTTCTTTTTTTTGTGTTTGATCGCCAAATTAGGATGGAGGACTTCAACTTCACTTCTTACTTCTTGTTGGTGGCAGCATCAATTCGGCTTCATCATCAAATTAATCATTCGTGAATGTAGCTTTAGCAAAAACTACCTTCGGTTCTCTATCCTTTGTGTTCATTTACAACATTATCATGATGATACTTTTTATGCTGGTGGTTTATGTGGGTCTTTATTTTGCTTCTGCTAGTGTTTTTTAGTGGGTTGAAGAAGTTGGTAATGCCTAATGGGTGGTTCTGGGTGGAGGACTTGGTAAGAATCAATAGTAGGTGGGGGACTTGTTTATTATTGAATCCCTTTGCAGATTATGAACGACATGTTGTGTATTTTGAGGTGGGCCAATTCTATTTTTGTCATTTTAGATATTATATGGGCTATTCGTGGGTATCAGTTACCCATTCCGTACGAATAATAAATTTGGTTAATTCATACGGGTTGGAACATGGAACGTGTATCCAGTCCAGTCCAGCCCATGGATCTTTACTGGGGTTAATTGAGTAAGCAACAGTGGGCCGTTCCCTTCTAGTGTTAAGATTCCTGCTTCCTGGAGCCCAATCTTTAGGGGTCGTTTGGATGAGGGATTGTAACGGATCAATTTGACACAATTGTCTCGTTTGCTAGCAAAAAATTTGAACGGATCAATCTGCCTGAGGTATTTTGAATTGATCCATTTTGAGTCAATTTCAATTACTTGGGGTGGGGCAGGTAATTCGTATTGACTCGTTTATAAAACGAGACAATTGATCAAATTGACTCATTTGATTGCTCCATCCAAACGACCCATAAATCGTGCTGAGTCGTCAAAGTGGAAAATCGAACCGTTGGCTTAAACAGAAGAAATTTATTACCTTTTGCTATCTTATCTGATCTGACAGTGCAGAGAGAAAAAGAGAAACAGAGGAGGAAGACCATAGACTTAAGACTTTCTGGCATCGTCCCTTTCACGAGCAGGACAATCAGGACTTGCAATAATGGGAATCGCAGACGAGATTGCCTATACAGCAGGGCATTCGGGAGGGAGGGAAGGGAACTACCTAAAAGCCATCAATACAACTACTATGAGCTCACACTACACCCTACATTCAGATCTTTAATGAATACCATTCTTTCAACCTCCCGGCAATGGCGTTTGGTCAGCTCAATTAAGTCAGAAAGGAAAGGAACATCATACAATTTTATATTAGACAAAACAAAACAAAACACCAGCAGACCAGAGGAAATTAAGAGCAGAGGAATAAATTAATTAATGATTGCCAGCTCGCATGGCGCCTTTTCCCTATTGACAAAATCCACATTACTGTTTGGCTTTACTTGTATATTACACAGAACAGGAGAGACAACTCGTGCTCCACTCCAGGATGATGGTTTCAGAATTTCTCTCTGAAGCAGAGTTTGCTACAGATAGATTGATGGCGCCAACTTAGCAAAACCTTCCGCTGCTGCCGCAAACAAGTCTCTGTTGCTGGCTCGGCTCTCGTGACAACGACCTCGCCTTATCCCTCAACTCCTCGAACGCCCTCATCGTTTCCACATCGAACCCTCCCGCAAACTGCATTCCATTCCCAGCTATCAATCACTACACTTTGAATAACAAATTGCAATGGAGATGAAAAAACACAGTAGTTGTAGTTCACCTGATGCACTCGAAATGCAAATCTAACGCCTTGGACGATCAGTTCCTCTTCTTCAGCGGGACTATCCACAGCTTCCAGCTCTGCCGATACCCTTTTCATGTACTTCATCGCTAGCTTCACCGACGCCAATTTGATCTGTGCGGAAATAACACAAAAAGAGAAAAATCCACATGAATCTATCAAACGGGAAATTCAAGACCAGCACGGGGAACAACAGAAAAGATTCACATGTGAGCGCGCATGGGCAGAGAGAAAGAAAGTGGAGGTGGGGAAGCTAAACTCTCTCAAGCCCCCCCCAACCATCCATTTGTCATATTGCCGATTTGCCTTTTCTTCTCCATTTCCCACGACTCATTGTCTAATCATACTCCCAATAGTAGTGTAGTATATCATCGTGTCTATGTCTATATGCCTCATTGTGTCAAAGCTTTGATAAAGTTGGTTTTGTCTCTCTTCCCAGATTAAACAAATGAACCGGTGGCAAACGACGGTGACCCATAATTTTAATGAGTTCCCACTTCATTCTTACTTGCTTGAAGTAAAGTTGACAACTTCTTTTACCTGGCTAACAAGCCCTGTTTCGAGCATCCAATCAATCGGAATCTGAAACTCCTTGTAGCGTTTCGTCGCCGATTCCCTCATTCTTGATAAATTGTACACCCCATGTTCTAACCTGCATTAACCAAATTGGCCGAGAAAAGTAGTAGGCATTTGTGTTAGATTCTGCTTCGACAGACAGCCAAACAACAAGATGTTAAAATAGTGTGTAACCAATAATTGAGAGGTCGAGAGGAAGCAGAGTTTTCGATTACTTTTCGAACAGAGCCTGCATTTTCTTGAGAGCCGAATTGCATGGCTGGCGAGCAACATCTCGGAAGGAAGCTGCTTCTGTTACGACCTTCTTCAGATCGCAGTACCCAAATGCTGCCTCTCTCAACGCATCGGCCTTCTGTTCTGGCCACTCGAAATGCTTCAGAACTGCCCTTTCGTCCACCTAGATCAGATCAATCGCCAATTTCAATCAGAATCGTTTATGAGAAGAGGGAAATAAATAGCTGACATGGGTTCGCCGCTGGGAAGGTGATGAAGATTAGTTACCAGATAAGAGAGCTCGTCGTCGAGCCATTTCACGAAGGGCACTACGTCTTCAATGTCTGTAAATGAAGCGCTCTCCACTTCTTTGATCAAGAACCTTATGAACTCCCCCTGAGTTTCTACGTCTGTTTTTATCTGCGAATTCCAAATGAGTCCTTTCAATTTTTAACTTTTGGCCTTAATTTGAATGGCTAGAGACACAGAGATTCAAATTCGAAACACTGTCTTGGCGTTCAAGCAAAACCAGCAGAATGGGAATAATCCATGGCGGAAGTTACTACTAAAATTACCCAACGGTAATAATTAGGAAAGTAAAGAAGAAAAATGAAAAGGAAGTAGACCTGGTAACAGGGGAAAACTTACCGCCAGTAAATACGCCGAACGGTTCTCGATTTCCCCAATCATGTCTCGGGGATTGGCGGTGGCCGCTCCCGCATCGGCGACGGAGCCGCCAGATTCCTTCCTCGAATCCCTCCGCATTAGCGAGTGGTAGAACTCCACCACCTCCGGCACACGTCTCACCTTCGCCGCTCCCGCTCTCATCCCCTTCGGCGGAGGAGGCGGCGGTGGCGGGGCTGGTTTCGCAGTCGCAGTTGACGACGCCAGAGGCCGCGGTGGGGGAGGTGGAGGCGGTGGCGGTGCGGAAACGGAAGCAGAAGCAGATTGTTCAGCGACAGAAGACGGCGGCGGCGACGAGGCCGACGGAAATGACGACGGAGACGGTTTCGGCGGAGGCTTGGGGATTCTAGGGCAGCGAGATCTGATGTTAGACAGAGTCGACTCAGCGATTTCCTCCGAGTTACACCTCGAAAGCCTCGGACTCGGTGCTCCGTCACCGTTTAGCGTTTCCTCCCGCTTCACCGTTAGCTCCGGCATTTCCGGCTTGCACGCATTTCCGTTCTCCTCGCTGACGCCGTCCGCCGCCGCCGCAGACTTGGCTACTCCTACTCCTTTCTTCAAATTCTTAATCAGATTGGACTTCATCGTCAACTCCATTAAACCTTGAAACCTCTGAGAAGCCGAGAGCTCTTCGCTCTCTCTTTCCCTCTCCCTCTCCAACGCCGCCTTCCTTAGCTCCTGAATCTCATTCTCCATAGCCTTGACCTTCACATTGCTCTCCTCCTTCTCCGCCGCGAACCTCGCCGCTTCCGCTCTCAACCTCTCATTCTCCCCTTCCAACGCCTCGATTCTTGTGGCCGCCTTCTCAATCTCTGCGTTCTTCGCGAAGATATCTCCCTCCAGTTTGGGGACAATGGCGGCGGTCTCCTTCAGAAGCTTGAACTCGAGCAGCTCCGTCTTCAACCTGGACTCCCGTTCCCGGAGCTCCTCGACGAGGCGGAGGAGGTCGGCTACGTCGGGAGGGCGGGGCTGGACTTGAGCGGAAGAGCGCGGGAAGTAGACGCCGAATGAGCGTGAGAAGACGGTTTTCCCGTTGGATGACGGTTTACCGCCGGCGGCGCAGCTGGGGGAAGGGATGGGAGGTTTATTAGGCGGCGGCGGTGGGGTTCCCGATTTGGAGTTGGACGCCGCCGGCGATTTTTGCAGGCCCATTGCTACTCTGACCTTACCGGCCACCATTACTCTGATCGGTTTCTTCTTCTCTCTCTATCTCTAACAGGAACTGGATGAGCCTTTCTTCGTGATCTGGAACGGTTGAGTTGAGAGAGGGAGGGGAAAATATAGAAAGACGTCGCTATCGCCGTGGTGTCTCTGAGCCTGAAAGATAGAGAGAGACAGAACGAAGGCTAGAGAGAGAGAGAGGGAAGTGAAGTAATTGCGGAGTAGAGAGTGAGCTAGCTAGGAGAGGAGGGAAGAAGGACACGGGAATCGATGAACGGTCATCTTCTGTTCTCGGATCCAGTTTGAAAATTGATAATAAATAAATAAAAGAAAATTTTAAACAATATGATTAATTTAATAAATGATGACTGATTAGCATTGTTAATTCGCTGACTGGAAATTATTATTATATTATTATAATCTTGTATGTATGAGTGAGTAGGAAGCTTGATGGTTTGACAAGTGTCTCCCTGGGTAGCTACAGCCAGTAGAGTGAGGTGTAGCTGGTCACGCGCCATCTTGCGCGTGGTATGATTTGGGGTTTGTGTCCTGCGTTGCCCTTTTCTTCTTTTTGTTTCGTTTTACCTTGTCTTATTCTCTTGCTGCTTTTGTCTTCACTCCTGGCTTGTAAATAGAAATTGACACTTGCTTGTTAATTATGATTTTTATAAGATGCTTTATTTCCTCGAAAGCGATTTAAGATGCTTTAAAATTTCTTCAACGAAATCGACAGTGTATTTTCTTTTCGGCTAAATTGTAAGTTTAGTTATTTAAATTACTAGTAAAGTTTATCTTACCCACTAAAATTATTTTATTCTATTTGTAGTCGCTTTAATTAATTCAACAGTTCAAGTTTGGTTACTCTCAATTATTATCCGTTAACTTTTGGTGATGTGGCGGTCAACTATGATATTTGATCATTAAATGTTATGATGTGTCAATTAAAAAATAAAAAATAAAAAATTTATAATTTTTACAACGACCACCTCATTAACAATATACATTAAAATAAATAAAACAAAACAGTTATAATTAAATTGAAAATCACAAACAGTATCTAGCAAACAAACAAAACACTCAAAATGAATCAATTGGGCCAAATTAACCCATTTGGCAGTGCAAAAATCGGATGAAGCAATTGGGCATTGGGGAAATATGCTTTGACGCGTTATGGGACAATTACAAATACCTGGTGGGTGGGGGGGGGGAGACAATTCCAATTGTCTCGTTTTTCTTTATTTTGTTGGCAATTCTATCCCTGTTATTTTATTGTAATCCAAATGTGCCCTTGTTCCCTTCCCCTCCTCGCGGCCCCTTTATTCCTCTTTATATTGTTTCTTCTTCCATAAATTGTCGCATCTGGTCGAGCTCGGCGATTACTGGTGAAGAAGCTTGGTGGCGTCGAGTTTATACGAAGAAGAAGAGTTGTGAGATTATCGTCGTCAACGATCGGGCAGGTATGTCCAAAGCCAATCTATATTAGTTATACACCCAAACAATTGGGGCTATTTTTCTCAGAACCCTAAAAAACAATTATCAGCTGGAGAAGGAAGAAAACAAGCTGACACTAGTTCTTAACCTCATCGGACTTCCTCTCCCCGGCCAAACCCAACATGGGAAGCTCCCGCCAAACCTCTGGCTCCAGCATCGAATCCCTCATGGAGTGCCTCCACGCCACCAAGAACGCCTACATCGCCACCAAGTGCCTCTTCACCATCCACATCGTCTTAACTAAGGGTTCCTTTATACTCAAAGATCAGCTCCCCGTCTACCTTGCTTCCGATGGTAGGAACTTCCTTTACCTATCAAAATTTCGCTACAGATCCGGCCCGGGGACCTGGAAACTATCGTTCTTGGTCTAGTGGTACACCGCCATCATCGAGTAGAACCTCGCCATCTCGAGAGCCCTCAGCCGATTCCTCTCCGGCGGCAAGAGGAAGGAGGGAGCAATTCTGGAGATGCTGAGCAGAGACTTGCTAACCAAGGTCAAAACTATGGTCGATTTCGCGCAAATTATAAGTGAGGCTCCGAGACCCCTTCAATTGCAGAAGAATCGACCGACAGTGCTCCTCACCGGCTAACTCGACGAGACCGTTTAGTTGTGGAAGCCTAGCGAGCTTAACCTCGCGGGGACCAACACGAGCACGAATAGGCACGACACGATTCGAACCGTGCCCGGGCCTGGGCTGGGCCTAGCAAAGTTAACAAATGGGCTTGCATGGCACGACACAAAAACTGATGGGCCGTGCCAAGCACGACACGAAATAAATGGGTCTGAAGCATGCCCGTGTCGTGCCGTCCCAAGCACGGCCCATCGCCCATGTACACACGGGCTACTGCCTCAGCATCATCTCCATCGCGACGCATCCCTCCGGCGTTATAGCTGCCTTCGCTTCGCTCGACAACTTCCTTCGTGTCTTCGATGTCGATACAAAAACCATCGAGTTCTCCCGCTTTACCTACTTTTTTATTCGTGTTTCTAGAATTTGAGATTGGATTAGCGAGGTCAGGGAGGTTTACTCCCCAGCCCTAGAGACGAAGGTGAGGCAGGTTTTCAGTCAGACAAGGGGTGATGAGGAGCGGAGGTCGGGGGAGACCTTTGGTAATTCATAATTATAATTATAATGATTTTTATGTTTTATTTATTTTTTAAATTATTTTGATAATGAGGTGGAAATTATAAAAGATAAAATTTTAAATTTTTATTATTTTATAATTTTTACGTCACTTATTTAACGGTCAACTCTCAGAGTTGACTATCACGTCAGATAAAGTTAACGGAGACTAACAGAGAGTGACCAAACTTGAACCGTTCAACTAATGTAAGTGACTACGGATGAAATAAAGTAATTCTAGTGGCTAACATGAACTTTACTAGTAATTCAAGTGACCAAACTTGCAATTTACCCTTTTCTTTTGTTATAAAAATCTTAATGCTTTATTATATTGGCGTTGCATTGGGTTACAATTCATTTGTAGTTGCGCTATTAAAAAGATCGGAGGCCTGTTACTCCAGACATCCTTATCATCCGGGTAACATATAGTTCAGGCGTCAAACATGTCGACTAATTGAAGGCCCGTCTAACAAACCAAACTTGCAGGTCGTCCATGTCGAAACTCAAGCTCCTGACATCTGACCAAGGTGCCTCCACCTCCCTTAAAGGTTCTCCTAGGCCATTCTATTTCTTCACGAGCGACTGACAATCAGTTTCACTAATCTCCGACCAGAAATGCCTATCCTTCATAAGATTTAGACAAAATACTAGTGCTTTTGCCTCCGCTGTCTTCACCGCTATTTTCATCCGCTCTCGCGTATCCCTTCCTTAAACCATCATAATCAAGATTTTGCCACATGCAAAAGGAATTAATTACTGATTCGTGCTTTTTTCATGTCGCTAAACTAATCAATCAAACAAGGAAGTATGGATAGCACATCAATTATCTAGGGCCACTATGAACCATAGTGATGGTATATGACATTTATGATCTAAGGTATCAAGCATTGTCTCAATCACGCATGGATAATTGATCATTTTATTCCATACATGCTTAAGAGAATGGCACATCACATAAGAGTAATTTCCTTTAAAAAATCACGATATTGTAAAAAATACTATAGTAGCACATAATAGATGCTGAAGCCATCGCATGGTTAGGGCATCACAAAGATAAGTCATTCGAATAACATAAACATCACATGAATTAGGAATCTAATGGTATAAGAATCAGATGACTAAGCAATCCAATGGTATAAGCATTGAATAACATAGATAAATAATGAACAAATCATCTCATTATATCATAGAAAGAAGATGCGTAAAACATCAATAGAATTCACATCTTTAACAACGAATTTGACCTAAGAATACATAAGAGAGAAGGATGGTACCACCATTGATATGAATGCATCTCCTAGCTGCACCTTCCTATGAATGCTTATTTGGCCTCCCTAGATATGAGTGGCTCCTTGCTCAAGTTATACAGAGTGGTTTAATTGAATATTTCCATCCTACGAAATCCTTTAACTTGATCTTCTATTTATAGTGTAAGGAAGAAGGGGTTTATAAGTCACTTATTCAATCAGCCATCCATTCAGCAAGCTTTTGGATCAGGCTCAAATATATCCAACAGATCCTTATTTGCAACTCAAATCAACATAGTGACTGCCAGATATAAAGACAAGAATCCTATGGGCTATGGTAGGTAACATCACTCTCTCCTTCTCCAAAAATGTTCACGAAAAGAATTCTTGGGCCCTACATATTGGAGCTAGTGATCACATAGCCTATGATACAATTTGTTTTATAGATGTATATTCATTCATAGCATTTTACTGACATTACCAAATGGTGACAAACACGAGCCACATACATAGGGACTATTAAACTAGCTTGTGGGATCTTACTTACCAATGTCCTGTTGGTTCCCACCTTTGTTTACAAGTTGATTTCAGTTAGTCTGTTGACAAAGAGTTCCCAAGTCTCATTGCTTTTCAAATCCCATTTTTGTTTTATTCGTGATCTTGTCTCTCAACAAAGGATAGGTCCAATCCAAGTAGATAAATGATTGTACTTTCTTGGAGACTCTCACACTCAGAACATCAACCACTTAACCTTTTCAACCCTCACATACACCAACAACTAGGAGATAGACCTTTGGCATATGATACTAGGACACCCTTCCGACTTGAAGAGTTACAGAAGAATATTAGTGATATATTTTACCAATTTCTAGACACTGTAAATTTTGTCACTTAGTATAACAATAGAGACTACCTCTCAGGAGAAGCTCCAGAACAGTGATAATTACATCACTTTGGATGGATTGCAGCAACTAGTTTGAACTTAGTGAAAACCATTGCTTTGTAAATAAAGAACACCAAGTCTCCATTGAGGGTGGAAATGATGGCTCACAAGTCACAAGACACAGAATATGATTAGTTGCTAACCCCTTTGTGAGGTTAGCACCATGTTAACTAGCATAATAACCATTAGATTAAAAACTAATCATATAGTCAGTATTAAATAAAGGATATTTTTTTCAATACACCAACAAACCCTAATATAAATATAGTTTTTCCTACGCATCATTTCCCAGCCGCCCACCTCTCTCATTCTCTAAAATCTAGAACCCCATCTTTTTCTTCTTCTCTTTATAAAGAAACTCCCATCTCCGTCAATTTCCCTTCCCGTTCAACTACGCCTGCGTCGACCTCGACCTCTCCCGCAATGCATTGTCATCACCTGCAACCGCCTCGCCGTTTCCTGTAATTGCCTCGTCGTGCCTCAAACCGTGCCACCATCACCTACAACTGCCTCGCCATCGACATGTTTTGCTCTCAACTCTGTCGGCCACACCTATGTCGTTGCTTCGATAAAACCACAAGAGTTGCGTTTGGAGAGGATGTGAGTCATCTATGATGGTAGAAGAGGAAACAAAACAAGATAGTGCGAGAGGCATTCGTTCGATGGAGATAGATGAGCCTGTATCGCCCTTACATCCACCGGCCTTGCCTTCGTTGGCTTCCCACCACCACCGTCATCAATCTCTCACGAATAGCACGACCGTGGCTCTTTGCATTGTTCCGCGCTAGTCTTCATCTAGCGCATTGGCGGAGGCGCGGTTGTTGGTGCGTTAGGCCCCGACCTATACCCCCAACAATTGCCCCCCATCAGGTGGTATTTCGTGAATGCCTCCTGGTACTACTTTGTGCAGCTTGGGGCGAGGTCTCTTCTCCTTGTTTGTTTTTTTTGCTGTATGGCATTTATTCTGCGCTGCGTTTTGGGAGGTATATTCTGCAAACAGGTATGTATGTGCGCGTGTTTTTTCTTTCAGCAGGAGTATCCTGCCCCCCAGGCGGTGCACGGACGCAGTGGGCGTGGTCATTGGTTTTCCTCGCACGACCCGTGACTGTTGGTTGCCTTCGCACAACTTTTGATTATCCTCGGCCACATGGAACCTTCCTTTTCGCTTGTTGTGGCGGTTAAGTCTCGATATTTGAAATTCGAATTTTGAATGATTGAAGTGACGATTACGCTTCTCGAAGTTCTTTCGGTCGTTGCATTCTCTCATTTCAGGCCTATAAATAAGTGCCCTCAAGCTTCTATTGGTCATTTTGTTTCCCAAACTTCAGTTTTTCTCGAGAAAGAACATCTTGCGAGATTCCTCTCCTTCGTTTGTGACCTTATTTCTCTCGTTCTCGTCGTCAATCTCCAATGAAGAGATCGAGGTCGTCATCGACGAAGAATGTAATCTTTCTTATCCCTCTCATGTTTCTACCGATCCTTCCTTGGATATGGATGAGTCCGGCGACGGTGGTGGCGGCGGAGCGGTGACCGGTGAGAATCCCACAATGTCGTCCCATGACGCCGATGACGAAGATGATTAGCCGGCCGATTCGCCGGAGGATGGTGATTAGTGATGCCACAGGGGAGGTCAGGCTTCGGGGGGACGAAGGGTTCTTATTATTTGGCGGGATCATCTCGGTAGCTCTCGCTCCGGCACCTTCGCTCCAGTGGAGGCTTGGTAGACGGATTCAGATCTTCCTCCGCCACGTGCACGCATTTTGGAGTCTATGAGCCGACTCGGTCCCCGCTACATCGACGCCCAGTACACTATTCTTGATTGGGCGGAGATGTTTGAGACGAGTTCACTGGGGGTACCTAGGGACAACCTAATGCGTGGTCCTGATCATTGCTCTGTGTTGGGGTGGAAGGAGGTGACCGATCGAGTGCATGGACTGGGGTTTCCCCCCTCGTGGCAGTACGCGGTGCCCAGTGCGTGTAGTCGCATTGGCAACTGTCGTGCTGAATGGTTCTGGATCTACTCCGAGTACTAGCGGATGGGGTTCAAGTTTTCGCTAGACCCTCTATTGTGTGCTCTGTTGTGGAGATTAAAGTGCTCTGTTGCGCGCTTATCTCCTTCTGTGATGATGCACATATCAATGCTCCACCTTGCGTGTAAGCGGCACAGAATCCAGTCTTCTTATGGGTTGTTCCGCACCTTTTATAAAATGAAAGCGCTGA